GTTAGTGGAAATGGCATTTTCCATAGACTCTTCTGGGCATTTGAACTATGTATCAAAGGCTTTGATTACTGTAAACCTATTATTCAAGTTGATGGCACCTGGTTATACGGGAAATATAAGGGCACGCTACTCATGGTTGTGGCATAGGATGGGAACAACAACATTTTTCCAATAGCCTTCGCTTTAATTGAAGGGGAGACTGTTGGGGTTTGGAGTTTTTTCCTAAAAAATCTTCGGTTATACGTTTCTCCTCGGCCTAACTTATGTTTGATCTCTGATAGACACTCATCAATCGAGAATGCATACAAGAATCTTGATAACGGTTGGCAGGATCCTCCCTCAAACCATGTGTATTGCATAAGACACATCGCCCAAAATCTCATACGGGAAATCAAAGACAAAACGCTCAGGAAGAAGATTGTGAACGCATGGTATGCACTAACAGAGCCCACATTCAAACACTATCATGACGAGATCAAACTGACAAACGCATATGCATTAAGATGGATTGATAATATTCATAAAGAGAAATGGACAAAGGCATACGACAATGGGGTGCAATGGAGCTACATGACAACTAACCTCGTTGAATTAATGAATTCTGTTTTCAAGAGAATCTAAAACCTACCGATAACTACCTTGGTAAAGACAACATATTTTAGGCTCGGGGCACTCTTTGATAACAAACGTACAAAGTGGGGTTCAGGATTACAATTTGGGCAGCTGTACAGTAATAGTTCGATGAAATTCATGAAAGACGAAGTTGCTAAAGCCAACACATATGTGGTCACAATCTTTGACCGTAATAAAGGTTGGTTCAGTGTTACAGAGTCAATTGATCACAATGGAGGGAGGCCTAGGGGATGTTACCGAGTGGAACTGGATATGAGTTGGTGTCACTGTGGAAAGTTTCAAGCATTTTGTATGTCTTGCTCCCATGTTATAACAACATGTTTGAAGGCTCTCCAGGACCTAACCAACTATCTTTCTGCTGTTCACCAAGTCATAAGTCTATGCAATGTCACGACACTAGCTTTCAGGTGGTGGCAACGGAGGACTATTGGCCTCCATACGAAGGCGAAATTCTCTGGCATAATAATTTGATGCGAAGAAAGAAAAAGGATCGCCCTAATAGCACGCGTATTCGAGCGGAGATGGATACATCAAACAAAATGTTCAGATTATGTAGTTCGTGCCGACAACCAGGACACAATCGTACAAAATATTTTAATGTAGGATCAAGCACAAGATAATAATTTCTAATGTTACCGTGTCTCTTTAAATCAACAACAAATTTCATTCCATTGATAACATACCTAAGCGATTACAATTAACATCAACATAAATTAAACAAACATAACTTAATATCAAAATAACAATCCAAAACTAACAACAACAAACCCACATAAAACAACTCAATGCATTAACTTGTCTAAGATATTACAACCATCATGATAATTTTCTTTGGTGTTAACATCATCATAAGTACACCAGCATCATTTTTCACTTTTCTCCAATCACTTTTCTCCAAAAATAACAACAACAAACCCACATAAAACAACTCAATGCATTAACTTGTCTAAGATATTACAACCATCATGATAATTTTCTTTGGTGTTAACATCATCATAAGTACACCAGCATCATTTTTCACTTTTCTCCAATCACAAGTAACTCTGTTTCTCCCTGACTCCTCAACTAGCCTCTCAATTTTCCTGATCTTTTCACCTACAACAATATCTCCTTCTAGTCAGCGGTTAAATTTCCTATGCAAATGCTCCAAAGTCTGCGTGTTCCACAGTAGGACCTTCATCGGAGGTTTTGTTGCTGAAAAAATAAACTAGGGCATTTCTTTTCATTAGAGGAAATGTTGGAAGTAGTTCCTCCGATGATGATGACGACGATGAACGTTGGTTTAGAAATGCATACATTCTAGACTGATTTGAAAATTATGAAGAGTTGAGGCTATTGGTGGAAATTTTTGTGAATAAGTCTAATCCTCTAAAATTGAGATGCCCAAATCTTCTAACTATTTCCTTCTTAGAGAATAAGTTTAATCCTCTAAAATTGAGATGCCCAAATCAAAGATGCTAAAACCACAACTCCTCTTTGTAGCACATCTTGAGACATTGCGCGTCCTCATTTTGAATGTAGAGCATAAACTTGCTTGAATGATCTCTTACAAAAATGTTATTATCTTTCAATTGAATGACATAACCTTTCTCTAAGAGTTATCCTAGACTCAAGATGTTGTTCTTCATGTTTAGCACATAATAAACATTAGAAATAAACTGATGATCTACATTCTTCAATCAGGTGAGAATGTTTCCTTTACCTTTAACCGCCATATTTGATTCATCTTCGAAAGCCACGTTCCCTTCACCGATTCATCCAGCTCTACGAATATGCTTCTTTTCCCACACATATGGTTGCTTGCACCACTGTCAAGGTACCATTGATTATATGCACCTCTTTAATTGCCTTTGTGTGCCAATAGTAGTGTCTCGTCTTCCTGGTTTATTTCTTCAACATAGTTGGCCTTCTCTTCAACTCTACAATTTATAAGAGTTTTACATTCGGAAGAATAATGCCCAAACATCACACAGTTGTAGCATTTGAATCGTGACTTATCGACCCTTGGTTTTGGATCCCCTCTCCCACAACCTCTTGATGACATTTCTCCTCTTTGGTTATTGTTATCATCAGGCCTCCAACCTCACCCACCTTCATATCCACGACTGCTTTCACGTTCTTGATCGCTGCATCGTCTTTAGTTGATTTGATCATGCTTTTCTCTACGTGAATTGACTCGCGTCTTTATTACTTGCTCCTCAATATCTTCCTTCTTCTTTTTCTTTTCTTCATAAGCTTGCAACGATCCAAGAAGTTGCTAAATTGTCATGGCCTCCAAATCTTTTCTCTCTTCAATGACAGTGACAATATGCTCAAACTTTGGATCTATCGATCTAAGAACTTTTTTCATGAATTTTACATCATCATCCTTCTCTCCATTTCTTTTTAGGTTATTACTAGGAACTGACAAAACTCTTAAGAAATAATCGGATATAAGTTCACCTCTTCCATACGCAAAACTTCAAAGTTTCCTCTTAGTTTTTAAAAACGTACCTTCTTCACTTGATTGACTCCCTTGCAAGATGATCAAAGCTTCTCTCCTGCTTCTTTGGTCTTCTTTGCACTAGAGACGTTCTTGAACGTGTCTTCATCTAATCCTTGATAGATTATACATAGTCTTCTTTGATAGATTAGACAAAGAGTTTTTTTTCTCTCTTCCATGAGTTTTTCAAGCTATCCTTTAAAATTTGAGATAGGGTGCCTTCATTCTTTGAAGTCTTTCTCAACTATCTCTCACACGTTATGCACGCCAATGAAAGCCGCCTATCTTAAACTCCAATTGTCATAGTTGCTCTTTGTGGGCATCGGGACTTGAAGAGAAACACTATTATTCACCATCTTAAAGAAAATCTTCAAGCTATCCTTTAAAATTTGAGATAGGGTGCCTTCATTCTTTGAAGTCTTTCTCAACTATCTCTCACACGTTATGCACGCCAATGAAAGCCGCCTATCTTAAACTCCAATTGTCATAGTTGCTCTTTATGGGCATCGGGATTTGAAGAGAAACACTATTATTCACCATCTTAAAGAAAATCTTCAAGCTATCCTTTAAAGTTTAAGATAGGGTGCCTTTATTCTTTGAAGCCTTTCTCGACTATCTCTCACACGTTATGCATACCAATGAGAGCCGCCAATCTTAAACTCCAATTGCCATAGTTGCTCTTTGTGGGCATTGTGACTTGAAGAGAAACACTATTATTCACCATCTTAAGAAAAATCTTCAAGATATCCTTTAAAGTTTGAGATAAGGTGCCTTCATTCTTTGAAGTCTTTCTCAACTATCTCTCACACGTTATGCACGCCAATGAAAGTCGTCAATCCTAAACTCCAATTGCCATAGTTGCTCTTTGTGGGCATTGGAACTTGAAGAGAAACACTATTATTCACCATCTTAAGAAAAATATTTAAGATATCCTTTAAAGTTTGAGATAAGGTGCCTTCATTCTTTGAAGTCTTTCTCGACTATCTCTTCACACGTTATGCACACCAATAAAAGTCGTCTATCTTAAACTCCAATTGTCATAATTGCTCTTTGTGAAGATTGAGACTTGAAGAGAGACACTATTATTTAACCATTTTAAAAAGAATCTTCATGGTACCACTTTGTTGATGCAAATTTTAGATAGGTTAAAAAAGTGTTTTAAGTATTTGAGAGAGGATAAAATATTTAAAAAAACACAAAATAAATAAATAAATAAATAAATAATAATTAAAAAAACTACTTGTATTATTAATTGAATGTGTATAATTTTTGACATGATACAAACTCAATGACATCACCTATACTCCTCATTCAAACAACTAAGATTTTGTCGCTACAAATTTAATTTAATAGCTATAAATCACTCTCTAAAGATGTCTCTACTATTCTATAAATTTTTTTAATTTATCCTTATCTTCTAGAAAATTCCATATATCTCTCTAAAATACACTTTAGAGATACTAAAACACAAATTTGAACTTAAAATTCTTAATATCCAAAAAAATAACAAACCAAAAAAATCAATTTAAATATTCATCATCAAAACAATACCCAAAAAATGAATTTAAATATTCATCATGAACAATATAATATTACTTTTCGTTTATTTTTCGAACCACCAAGTCAAAAGATTATTAAAAGAATGGTAGTGAAGACCCTAAATAGTACCTGTCAGAGTGAAATAGCACACAAAACAAATAACAGAGTAGTCTAAAATAAGAAAATAATCCAAGTTAGAACAATTGTTAATAATACAGTTAGAATAGTCTATAAAAAAAACTCCAGCTACAAAACTATATACTCTCTGCCTAATGTTCACATGAGTGCATTACTAACTTAATTGAGAAACAGCAGATAATTAATTAAAAGACAGAAAAGAGCAACATCATGGAAAAACAGAAGAATTAACTGTGATGTGTCTTAGAGGGTGTGAAATGTCGGTGCCTCCAGCATGCTGCACAAACTCAGCAGGTGAAAATGTGCTTCCATGACAGACACAGACAATGCTAACTTCATCACATTTTGAATATCTGTATAAAAATCCATTCACTGTTTTCCCATTTGGTCCATTCCCTTTTGTTGATACATACGGCATTTGAGACAAAGACAATGGCTTCTTAACTGGATTCGGATTCGGATTCGAAATGGTTTGTGTAGCACTAGCAGTTGTAGTTGCAGCAGAATCTTCATTGGGTTTCATGGTATTTGAATGAGTTTGTGTTTCCTTCACAATGTTGCTTTGTTTAGATGAAGCAATTTCTTCATGTTGGTTTCTTCTGAAGTTGATTTCTTTGGAACTTTTCAACTGAGTTTGTTCAGTCAACGAATTACCTGAATGCTGGCTGTGGCTCTCAGTGCTCCCTCCATCTGACAAAAACAAACACAAAATCTTAGACTATGATGTCTTTGTTTGGGTATAACGTGACAAAAATTAATTTCAAATTAATTTATTCTAGCATGTATCATGTTAAAATTCATATAGATTTATATTGCCTTTTCAAAAAAAAAAAATTTATAAATTGGATTACAATTTAAAGTTAAAAATATCATAATCACTTCTCACTATTTCAAACACATGCATCCTCCTAACATACCCAACAATAATACAAAGAATAATTAAGGTAGAAGATAATATCTCTATCCTTTGATAAATATATTTTATGAAATAGTACAAATTGATGAATATTATTCAAATGCATGCAATCATCACTTTGTCACATTCTGTGTTTCCATGAACTAAACATCATAAATTAATATATTTAATATTTGAAAAAAAGCAAAAGCAAGTGATTTTAAATAATTATATAATAAATAAAAAATATTAGCAAAAAATAAAAATCACCTTCACGAGAAGAGCATTGGTAATCAGAAACAACAGAACTACACCTAGAGGAAGACCCAGTAGATTTCACTTTTCCATCTCCACCGTTAACATTACTAACACCGTTAATTCCACCCACATTTTTATCACCACCAAACCAACACGGTAACGCCATTCCGTTAATAGGCAGCCCAAACTTCACTTTCCCAAACTGTTGCATTTGCAAAACATGAAACGGCGCATTCACCGAAACGGTACCGCCGTTAACACGTTCCGTCTTCTCCCTTTTAAACACCGGTTCAAAACCTCCGGCGCGGTTACCGGTTCCATTCTCCTGCTCTCTCTTTCTCTTCACCGCGTGAATCTCATTCTTCACCGGAGATTGTTGATTCTGATCAACTTTCTGCATGACATTGCTTTGGATTTGATTCTGACCTAATTCAGGTTTGGATTTCTCTTTCTCCACTGGTTTTCTGAAAGCACCTCCAATGGATAACCCTAAATCCAGCTCTATCTCTTCAACTTCCACCATCGTTGTTTGAAGATTGAACGTTAATTGAAGATAAACAATGAAAATAATAAAAGAAACTTTTTGATTATTTTTCGAGTTTATAAATGCGTTAGAAAAAGTAGAGTCAGAGGACACGTGGCGAAATATAAGGGGATAATAAAAGCGGTTATTGACACGTAAACGAGCGTTAACGAGGGAAGCACCGCTAAATAATCTCGAAACGGAGAATCTGTTTTTTTAGAAGGTTCTTAGAGCGACACGTGGAAGTTAACTTTTGAAGAAAGAAAAGAACACGTGGATGAATATTAGGGGATAGTGTGGGAGGGGTAGTAATTGACACGTGCACACGCGCGCGAATCTCTGTATTTTTTGTTGCTGGAATCTCGAGGATACCGCTTCGTTAGGGGATGTGTGACACGTGTGAAGAGGTTTGAGTGGGGTCCATGGATTTAGGAGACAGTGCAGTGAAACGTGGAAGGTTGATGTTTTTGTTTTTAATGAGTTTGTGTTTGTTATTGGTTTGTACTTGCGGTGGGACATGTTGGAGAAAGCGACACGTCGTACACGTGTTTGGGTAAAGTTTACTCGTGCTGTGTATTTTTTAAATAAAGGTTTAAATAATGTACTACAGGAGTAATTGTACGGTTTTACGTCTACTTTATTCTTAAAAAAAAGAAGATGTTTCAACTAAGTTTAATACTTGGTCCTTAATTATAATTTTTGTGAAAGTATTTGTATTTATTTTTTAATCAATAATTATTGTAAAAATTAGTTTTTTTTTATATTTAGAATGTTTGAAGACATCACTTCAAATTTAGTTTTAATTTAAACTTGAAAATTAATTTTTTTTAACTGTTAGGTCGAAACCCAAGTCCTTTTTTTCACCAATGATGCATCTATTGATATCTGGATCTACTCTTTCGTCTGATGATCACTGTTATGGATCCATTTCTCCTTTTTTTTTCTCGGTATTGTGCTTTTTTGCTTCTATTTTCTAAGTGATCTATTTCATGTTTCTAGATTTGGCGCCGTTACATTCCTCGATGTTGGTGTTTCTGTTGTTTATGTTCTTCAGATTTTGTTCCCGCACCTTCTTTAGTTGTGGCATGTAGTGCCTCTCCTTCGGATTCAAGTCCATGTGTCTTGTCTCTTCTATTTTTTCCTTATATTTCTTCTTCTGTTGTTTGTTATTGTTAATATTTCTTTATTTTTCATCTTTGGTTTCATTGATATCATCGATGTGTTTCTCTCTAATGGTGATTTTGATGACTTTGTTTTACTTCATACGTTTACCTCTCCCCATGCTTTCCTTAAAAGTGGTCTTGTCAACCGATGACTCTGATGTCTGTGTTTTGCATCTGAAGTTGGCCACGCACCTTCTCCATCTAATACATGTTGTTCTTCTCCTTGTGCTTCAGGTCTCCATTTCTTTTCTCTTGCATTTTATCCTTCAAATTTTTCTCGTAATATGTGGCTTTGTTAGTCTTAATTTGTTGTTTCCTTTTCATTTGCTTCTCGTTGGTATTTTAGCCTCTTTGTTTAAGGTTAGCTCATTTGGCTGCTCACTTGTCTGGTTTGTATTCGTCATCTTCGTGACCACCGTGTCTTTGTGAGGTTGGTTATCGTGCTTGCCATTTTAATTCTTATTGTTATTGTTGCGCCTTTGTTTTTCACTACTACAAATAATGTTTATAACGTCGCACAGGAAAGAGATGTAACACCGGCTACCCAGCCGACGTAATGAACAGTGACATGAATAGTTCGAACCGAACCCTAACATCTGCATTTTTATTATTGATATTAACAATGCATCAAACCTCTCGGTTTATTTAAAAATCGAGGGGTTAGATAGTTTTTTAAAAAATAAATAAATTCATTACATTGCTTACATAAAATATTAATAAATTAATTTGTTTACAGACTACATTATTTACACAAAATATTACATTGTTTACACAAAATATTAAAGAAAAAATGTTGTTCTTCATCGTCATTATTGTCAGTGCAGAACAAATGTTGGATATCTTGGAAAATAGAAAATGTTGGAGATCATCGTTTCGTTGATCTTGAGGATGAATACATGTTGAATGCAATATATTTTCTATTGCTTTTGCATTCATTTGTTTTTGAAATAAAAAATGTTAGCTAAATAAAAAAAAATCAACTATATGATTATTTAAGAACACAAACCTTAAACCTAGATAATTTTCTGCACTTGCAATCCATTGCTAATGGCAAAAGTTAAAGTGGAAGATGTAGATAGTTTTAATTGCTTCATGACGTTTCTTTATCAATTTTAGATATCAGAAAGCCTTTATAATGATTTTTTTTTAAGAATCACGTAGATCACGAATGGTAGTTTCTTAAGCGTTGATAATCTTGAAATGAACGACAAAGATTTGTTTAAGAACACTAAGTTATCCCCTATAGAAACCGAGGTGGACATCTTTTTCTTAATTACATTGTTTAAAAAGAATATTGAAAAAAATAATATAGCAAAACCATAATTTTGGTGTATGAAGTTATCTGGTCCAAATATTGCACGCATTTAATTTCTAAAGAGTTATCTGGTCCCAACGTTGAATGCATTCAACTTCTATTGAAAAATGTTTTTATGCACTTGCAATCCATCAAAGAGAACTTTTACAAGCTTCTAAATACAACAACAACAACATCAACACCATTTTGTGAGACGGATCCAAAAGAATGATGTGAATTCTACTTATAACGAGTTTGAAGTGGCTACATATAAGTTAGAATTAGAGTAAAATTTGTCTAACGAGTGCTTTTATAGTAAAATGTTATGTACCTTATACCCCAGTTTTTAAAAAAATCGACGGGATATATCATTTAGTTTACAAAAAAAATTATAATAAATAAAAATACTTTTCTAAATTGTTTTTTCCCTCAAAGTTTTTGAAAAACTGAGGTATAATGTTATTTCTATTTCTAAAAAAAACCATCATGGCGCGCATTGGAATCATATCCACTGGAGTAGCAAAGATCATCCATATTTTAAAATGTAACGTATCTTTTGAATTTTCAAGGCGTTTTAGCTTCTCTGATTATTTCACTTCCTATTCTCATCTCCACTTTATTTAAACATTATTTATTGTTTCAACGTCTCATTTTCAACTCTTTGTTTCTTCAAACCTAGTTTTAAAGTATTTTCTTTTCTTCAAAAATGTCTTCAACAACCTTAGATGAAAATGTTTTGTTCGTAATTAATAAAAAGTTTGTCAATTTCGATGATTTGAAAGAAAAAGGTTTTGATCTTAGGAAAACTATTTGCAAACAAAAGTTAAACGGTTACTTTGGCATTCTTAATGGACTCATCTACATTAATCTCATTAAAGAGTTCTTGTTAAATGCCTCCATTGGGCCATCTGGTCATGATGTTGAATCAATTCAGTCCTATGTCAATGGTTTTCCTGTCACAATTACTCAGTCACTTATTGTTCAAACAATAGAATCTTCTCGATTTCCCTCAACCAAGTCTGTGCACCCTTCGAATCATACCCACCGTTGAAGGTCAGAGGATTGTCCCTATGGAACTTTCCCAAATCACGAAATATATCCACTGGCGGATTCTGCCGAGCTTGTGACATATTGTCCATTACTTCAAAGGCTTCAGCAATCACTCAATCATTTCTTCCACCAACCATAACACTTCACAACAATAAATAACCATTAGAAAACAAATCACATCGACTGTATTTGTACACTAATCGAATACTAGGGAACTGACAACATTATAACTGTAACACCCCAAATTTAATCGGAATATTTTAATTAATTTATTTAATTGAGAATATTCATTTTTCGGTAATTTTCAGTGGTTTTGTGGATTGTTGAGAAATTGTGCATTTTTGGGTTAATTATTTAATTAATAGTATACGATATAAAAATATTAGTATTATTATTAGTTAAAATAAATATAAGTGAAATAAGGGTAAATTGGGCATTAAGAGGAGTTAGTAAGGGTATTATGGGAAAAGCCCAATTGTGTGGCCCAAGACTAGGTTTGACAAAAAGGGAATTTTGAAGGGAATTAGGATTCATTTTTTTTGTTAACCGTGAAAAGTATTGTGGTCAGAGCTCTGAGGAGAAGATTGGAGGCAGAAGTTCCGAGAGATTCCCTGAAAGATTCGTGAAGGCTTTGAATCAACGATTAAGGTATGGGGAATATAAACTTTCATAATTTTCCATGTGTACCTTTCGATGTGTTTATGGTTGATTTAAGGTTTAAGAGATTTTGGGTTTGATTGTGGGAAAAAGGGGAATTGATAGTGAGAACCCTGATGGTTTGGTGTAGTGGTAAGTATTCCCGACTGTTAGAGCATAGATGTGAGGAATAGTGCGTAGCAGAATTTGTTGTCATCGCAAAGTTTGCCTAGCGAAGAATGGTTCGCCTAGAGAACAATGTTGTTCCCAGACTCGCCTAGCGAAAAATGATTCGCCTAGCAAAGAAATTCGCCCCAGACTCGCCTAGCGTACATGTTATGGAACGTCGCAGAGTTTCACGAATGTTGATCATGTGCAGCGATACTTTGATGTTTGATTCTGTGATTTCTGTGATGAATTAACATGAGTATGACAGTGAGTTTTATGTGATGCGTACATGATTACATGATTATTTTTATGATGTTATATGATGATATACCATGATTTTGATAAATTATATGATGACATGAGATATTATGATGATTGTGATGATGATGAATATGATGAATGATGATGCACCTATGTTGTTATTATGAGGATGATTTATGACGTGTGCATCATGCATTCATGTGCATCTAGACTTCGGTTTAGGACCTCGATTACTTTGGCTTCATTCCCATTGTATGGATGTGAAGTGTTTTGATGTGTTCCGGTTCTCTAGTAGAATCGACCCTATTGATGGGGATCTATGGAGGGTTGATGACCCAGTGTCCATCGAGCTGTGATGATTGGTACCACATGCATTGAGTCTTGTTGCATTCCATTTATAAGTCTTTTTGTATGAATTATAATGTTGTGGCCTTCGAGGCCTATTGAGGAATATGAATGTGTTGAATATGATTATGATGCCATTTATATGTTGATTGTTATACATTGATTATTATGAATTGTTTTACTCACCCTGCCTGTTTGAATGTTACCTCCACGTGGGTAATGTGCAGATGACCAGGTTTAGCCGAGGACGCTGTCGAGTATATTTTTTTGGAGTCTTTTAGTTGTTAGCCTTTTGGTTAACTTAGAGGGTCTTGCTCTGATATGTAACATCGGGTTGGGTTCTTGATTTATGCCTTTGAGTTCCGCTGCGTTATGAAATTTGATGTATTTTAAGAAAATCCGTTATTTACGGAGCCTTGACCTATTTTGTTGATTTGGGAAATGTACGCCCTTTTTAGTGACTTTTTATGAAATTTATTAATTTACTTTGATACCTGTGTTATTTTTCCTTAATAATTGTGGGGTAGAAAAGGGTGTTACATTAGTGGTATCAAAGTCTGGTTGGTCCATCCAGCCAAGTTTTTATGTTGTTAGTTCCTTATCAGTCAGTAGCGTGAGAACACTATTGGATGAGTCGTTTTCTTCTAACCTTGTTGGTGGTTGCAGATGGCCGGAAGAAATGATCGTGCTATTGCTGATATGCTGGAATCACTTGCCCAAGTGATGGATCAGAATGGTGGACCTCCAGATGATTTTCATGCTTTGGGAAAGTTCCAGAGGAAGAACTCGCCGACTTTTGTGGGCACTCATGATCCTGATGGTGTGCAGAAGTGGCTAAACGTTATTGAGAATATTTTTCTAGTTATGGCGTGCACTGATGCGTAGCAGGTACAGTTTGGTACGCATATGCCAGCAGAGGAAGCGGAAGGCTGGTGGGATAACACTCGTCAGAGATTGGGAGATGTTGGAATTGTAATAACTCGGGCTATGTTCAAGGAAGAGTTTCAGAGGAAGTATTTTCTTGAAGATGTTCAGGGAAAGAAAGAGGTAGAATTCCTTGAGCTGAAACAAGGGAATATGACTGTGGCTGAGTATACGGCAAAGTTTGAGTCTTTGGTAAAGTTTTGTCCATATTACAACCGTGTTGATGCAGAGATGTCGAAGTGTCTCAAGTTCGAGAATGGATTGAGACCAAAGATTAAGCAGGGAATTGGGTACTAGCAGATTCGTCGGTTTTCAGAACTGGTGGACAAGAGCATGATTTATGATGAGGATAACCGAGCTCGATCTACTCACTACAAGCAGCTGACTGAGAAGAAAGAGAAAGGTCAGTATAGAGGTTAACCGTATGTGACTTCTGGTGATAAAGGGAAGTAGAAGGCTTCAGATGGGAAAAAACCAAGTGGGGGAGTGGCTACTGCTCTAGGTAAGTGTTATAAGTGTGGCGAGCAAGGTCATCGTGCTGAGAATTGTAGAGCACTGAGATGTCATCGTTGTGGCAAGAGAGGCCATATAGCGACTGACTGTAAAGACGAAGATCCGACTTGCTTCAACTGTGGAGAGAAGGGTCATATCAGTACCCAGTGTCAGCACCCGAAGAAGACTACTACTGCTGCTCAGACAAGTGGCAGAGTGTTTGCTTTGAGCAGTGCAGAAGAATCCAAGACAAATAAATTGATCAGAGGTACTTGTTTTATTAATGGTGTTGAATTGATTGCTATAGTTGATACTGGTGCTACTCATTCGTTTATGTCGTTTGAATGTGCTAAGAGGTTGAATTTGAAATTATCTTCTATGATTGGGAGTATGGTTATTGATACCCTGGTTAATGGTTCTGTGACTACTGAGTTAGTCTGTTTGAGCTGCCCTTTGACCATTTATGATAAGAATTTTGTGATGGACTTGGTTTGTCTACCTTTGCATCAGATCGATGTTATTCTGAGAATGAACTGGTTGGAGTACAACTATGTTCATATCGATTGCTACAACAAGACTGTGAGATTCCCAGAGTTTGGTGATAGTGAAGAGTTGATGTTTGTATCTGCCAAGCAAGTAGAAGAACTCTTAGAAGATGAGGCACAAATGTTTTCTCTGTTTGCATCGCTTCAAGTTGATTATGAAGCAGTAAGCGTGGAGCTACCAGCTGTTCGGGAATTTCCAGAGGTGTTTCCAGACGACATGAGTGACTTACCTCCTGAGCGTAAGCTAGAGTTTACTATTGAGGTGATATCGGGCACTGGTCCTGTGTCGATGGCTCCTTATCAGATGTCTGCATCTGATTTAGGAGAATTGAAGAAACAGTTGGAAGATTTTCTTGAGAAGAAGTTTATTCAACCGAGTGTTTCTCCGTGGGGTGCTCCTGTGTTGTTGGTAAAAAAGAAAGATGGTAGTATGATATTGTGTGTGGATTACCGACAGTTGAATAAAGTGACAATTAAGAATAAGTATCCAATTCCGAAGATTTATGATTTAATGGATCAATTGGTGGGTGCTTGTGTGTTTAGCAAGATTGATTTGAGTTCTGGTTATCATCAGATTCGCGTTAAGCCTGATGATATTCTGAAGACAACTTTCAGGACAAGGTATGAACACTATGAGTATATTGTGATACCGTTTGGTGTGTATAATGCACATGGTATATTCATGGAGTATATGAATAGGATTTTTCATCCTTATTTGGATTAATTTATGGTAGTATTCATTGACGATATCTTGATATATTCTAAGTCCGAAGAAGAGCATGCGCAACATCTACGAGTGGTATTGCAGGTTTTGAAAGACAAGAAGCTTTATGACAAGTTGTCTAAGTGTGAGTTTTGGTTGAAGGAAGTGAGTTTCCTTGGCCATGTGATTTCTAGTGGAGGGATTGTTGTTGATCCGTCAAAAGTTGATGCTGTGTTGCAGTGGGAGACTCCAAAGTCTGCTACTGAGATTCAAAGTTTCCTTGGTTTGGCTGGTTATTATCGCAGGTTTATAGAAGGCTTTTCTAAGTTGGCACTTCCATTAACCCGATTGACTCAAAAAGGTCAAGCTTATGTGTGGGATGTGGCTTGTGAGAAGAGTTTTGTAGAACTCAAGAAGAAGTTGACGACTGCTCCAGTGTTGATTTTGCCGAATCCGAGTGAGTCTTTTGTAGTGTATTATGATGCATCAAAGATGGATCTTGGAGGCGTATTGATGCAGAATGGTCAGGTAGTTGCTTATGCTTCCAGACAATTGAAGGTTCATGAAAGGAATTATCCTACGCATGACTTAGAGTTGGCCGTTGTGGTGTTTCTGTTGAATATTTAGAGACATTATCTTTTTGGGTCCAGATCCGAAGTGTTCAGTGATCACAAGAGTCTGAAGTATTTATTTGATCAGAAGGATTTAAACATGAGGTAGAGAAGATGGCTTGAACTTCTGAAGAATTATGATTTTGAATTGAGTTACCATCCTGGTAAGGCTAATGTTGTGGCTAATGCATTGAGTAGGAAGTCCTTGCATATGTCGATACTTATGGTTCGAGATTTGGAACTGATTGAGCAATTCAGAGATATGAGTTTGGTTTGCGAGTATCTTTTCACCCGAGTGAAATTCAGGCTACCTTTACTGCTTTCTAACAGAGCTTGTTGAACCACTTGGTCATATCTCCTTCCCAATTTCACCCGTTTTCCCGAGCTTGTTGAACCTTATATGTTAATAGAGGTTCTGAAGAATGAAGAACAAGTTGATTTAAAGAAAAGAACTTGAAGACAAAAAAAATATCTACAAAGATCGTGGCAATCACAAGAAGAAGAAGAGCACCATTTTTGTTCAAAGAGAAAAGAAGTAAAAAAAAGTGATAACCAACATAAGTTCCAAATTTATAAGCACAAAAAGTAATGACACTTAAGTACCATAAGTGTGTCACCTCTTTATCCTAGGCGCATGGGGATATATGGTAATCTAGTATAAGACACATTACAGTCAACCATATTCTTCTCATTTACACTTGCATAGTTCCTCCTATCTCAACATTAACTTGAGGTTAAAGTGCAAACTTTACGCACACTCTTTCTAAAATAACTAGAGATTTTTATCATTGTACCAAAAACTTTTTTACAACGGTCATCTTCAACCTCTCATTTATTCTTTGTTCTAATAAATAATGATAAATAATAATAATAATACTAATAATACGTTAAGAAAAAAATAGATACTTGAAGGCTTAATTTTATATTATAAAAATTATTTGATCAAACACTATAACTCATACAATAAGAACAACATTATTTACATAAAAATTTCAACTTGCATCTTCACCAAATTAATATTTATTTGTTTTACATTTTTCATCAAAACTTCATTGTACTCTATTACTTCAAAACTTCAGACTATATATTTTTTTGAATAGCAAAAACAAGTATCACATATTAAATAGAAGAAGGCGATGTAGCAGAAATGACTGACTAAGTATGTCGCTGGTTCAAAATTAATATGCACATCACTCATGCAATGTAGTATTTGTGCATTTATTGGAAAATCCATTGCAACAGCATACAGTATAATATAGAATGTTACATCCTTACACTAAGTTAAATGTTGCAAACTCTTTGCTCAACAATATATTCTATAACAAAATCAAAGATAATTAAACAGGCATCTTCCTCAAAAGCTGACCTTGCATGAAGCTGAAAAAATAAAATAAAATAAAATTAATAATAAAATAAAACTTGTAAAAAAAATTGTCATAGAAAATTTCATTTTGAATATTAAAAAAAATATGTTTAAAAGAGAAAAACAAAATGATTTACCTTTTGACGTAATAGTAACAAAAATCTGCCAAGATGAAAGACTGAACCAATTCCAATACTTGAAGAACCACCATCCAGAAATAGCCAAAACCAAAGAAAAATAGATATCTACCTCTAGTTTCATAAACCTATACAAAAAATTACAAACATTAGTATTATTATTTCACATTTCCTATAGTTTAAAAAATATATAAAAACAAGTTTAACAAATCTCACGTGAATAATCCAATAAGCCAGTGCAAAGAATCTTGAAATACCCAGAGCAAATACATAATATCCCGTGAATGGCTCAACCATCTGAAAACAAAAACTTGTCAGAATTATTTGTAACATAATTTAATGTCTGTTCATCTTTTATTTATGTATAATCTTTATTATATACTTGTAAAAGATAATAGTATAACAAAGTTTGAAAGTGTTTAACCTTTGCATTTTGCATGTAACGAATTTGTGGAAGTACTGAAATAGTTTCGACATACATAGTGAATGCGAAAACAACTCGAACAAGCCATGCATGAGGTATATGTGGATTCACTAGAACTGCTAGAATTGCAGAAGGCACGACCTAATACACAATCAATAGAATATTGTTTCAATGCAAACTAGAAAATTTTAGATTAACACAAAACTAAGAGAAGATGTAACTATGTTTACCAAAAGGGATATCCACATTGTGTCAAACTCTTTGATATAGGTTGACTTGAGTCTGAATCTCATCAACCAAACAACCATTAACGTTAACAAGAAGTATAATAGATCCAGCACAGTGCGATAGTCTGCTTCCATGTAGAAACTACAACTTAGTCTTGTTGCTAGGAATAAAGCATTGACCTCTTGAAACTTGAGGGATAAACCTAAAAATATAATTTTTTTAAAAATATTTTTTGGATAATCATTGTAATGTTTGTAATGTGAAATTAAATGTAGTATTACTTACTTGTAACAAAATACTAAGATCATGACACAACTCATAAAATAAACATAAATTATTAAATAGTTTAGTAAAAATTTATCTCTTAAAGGTGGTAATCAACAAAAGTCTTGAACATAATCAAAATAATCAAAATATAAAAAGTGTTTGAGAAATATGGTTGAGCCTAATTCAACCCTACAAAAATGGTTGGTAGGGTGAGAATTGTTCCCACTTATAAACACATGTTTAGGTTATTTATTATCCGATGTGGGACTCTTAATACACTCCCTCACACTCAAGACAAGACAACATGTGATATATTATTTGATGTGGTACTCTTAAGACACCCTATCACGTTCAGGACTAGACAACTGGAGCATGGATATAAAGGAATAGACAACTAGAGCGTGGATATAAATGGTGGGTGCCCTGATAGCGGAAACCATAGTAGGTGGTCCACTAGATCTTAAACAAGACTCTTGATACTATGTTAAGAAATATGGTTGGGTCTAACTCAAACTTACAAAATCGGTTGGTAGGTGAGGATTGCCTCCACTTATAAACACATGTTCAGACCATATATTATCCAATATGAGATTCTTAACAAAGAGACACATGTCTACTTCGTAGATTTTGAATAGACATACTGAAAATGTCCATCTTTGATAAGAAACAAAACTTTATTTTAGGATTGAAGTTCGTTGAAAGTGTCCACCCATAGTCGAAAATTGAAGAAATTTTCTAATGTTAACATGTTTGAGCATGCATATTGAAGCTGCAAGAATGATACCACTAGTCAAATTCTTTTTGACCATGTAGGGAAATGTCTTAATTTTTGTATTTGTATAAAACGACACAAAGAGGACAACTATTTCCACCTAAGGGCGAGGATGGGCAGAGGATTAGGTTTTGATATGATGTCTTCGTAAATTCTACCCCTTGCTGTATTTCTTTTGAAATATTATTTCTCATTTTGAATCAGAAGTCGCATGTGGAGGGTTCTATGGGTGCTTGGGAAAAAGATGTTTGGGTTTGAAACGTTAGGTGGATATGATCTTTTCGAGTATGGGAGGAGAGGTTCCTTGTGACGTAAGTAAACATTATTTCAGGTATTGTTAGGCTTGGTCAGGAAGATGTCTAGATCTAGATGTCAGATCTAGTTAGGGGTTTTTCGGTCCGTTCTGCTTACGACACTTTGGTGGTTTCGTCAAGGGTCAATGAAGATAGGCGGAGAAGGTTCTCCTGGCAGTTGTTTTAGGGGATAAGTTGTCAACTAGGCAAAACCATCTGAGACGTAAAATTATGTCGAAGTCTAATTTGAGTGTGTGTTCAAAGAGTGGTCGACAGATGGAGTCGACATACCATCTCTTTGTTTTGTGTGAGGTGACCTTGGACATTTGATATAGATTTTTTAGGTGGATTGGACGATCGGAGCGTCCTTGCTAAATCTTAGGGTTTTTTTAGTTGGTTCAAGGTTTTGATTTTGAGAAATATGTGTTGTAAGATTTGGTCTCGATCTAACATTATATGATCTGGATTATCTAGAAAATGCATAATAAAGTTATTGTTTTTCAACCCATGAGTTATTGGGGGAGTAATTCTGCGTGATGAGTCCTAATCTTGCTATGCATGCAACCCATGAGTTATTAGGGGAGTAATTCTGCGTGAAGTTGTGAAGTTGCTAATGAAATTAGGTAGAATATATGTGCTCACTATAGGCTCTACCTTGGAAGTGAGTTTTCTATCAAGGCCTTGCCGCTACATCTGATCAAGTGCTCCATTATTTTGGACAAATCACATTATTTGATAGATGCGAACCACATGAGATTGCACTCTCTAATAAGCCGGAATACTCTATATATTCTCATCATCAAATAAAAAATTTATTGCTAATTAACAATAGGAATTCAATCAAATCAAGACAACCACAATAATTCAGCACAAATGTTTAAAGACGCAATTCAAAAAGATGATAATGGGAAAAAAAGAAACGTACCAGAACATGTCTTATTAACAAAAAGCTTGTAAACAAGAACAACAAGACCAGCAATATGGATAGCTCCAGAGGCCATATAGAAAAAATGAGGATCTGTGATAGTATGCCTTAGAATCACCACACCACAAAAACCAACCAATATCCCCAAAAATATCTTCACTTTCATTGATCTTCTACTCAACCATCCACACAAAATATTCACTCCCAAATCCCTCTTTGATCCCATTTTCTCACCAACCAAAATATGCCTATTACACAATGATATATTATATATATTTTTGATATTGAGGGGGAAGAAATTTATTATATTCAGATTTCATTCACTGTCAAAACCGTTTCAAAAAAGTTCAATAGGAATAAAACCATAAATAATATTTCTTTAAAAGTAAAAGGAAAAGGTTTCTTTGAATTACTTTTTTTATTTTTTTTATGTTGGTCAAATATTTTTTATTTAATATTGAGCTTTTCCATGTCTCGGTAAGAATATTTTAAATTTCTATAAAAGGTATAGCATATCAAATTTTAACTTTCTCAAAATATATATATATGTTTTTTGAATTAACATATATGTACTCAATCAAATCGTACAAAATAAACATTTATTATTTTTTTTTATAAGTTAAGATAAAACAATAATATGGTCATTTAATTAAATATACAATCTAAAAAAATTATACTTTCAATATATAAACATTAATGTGATATTTTTTAAGAACTTTTAATGACAAAAGAAAATAGAAAATTGCATTGCAATCCAACGCATCAAATATCCTTAAACTATTTTATTATACATTGAATTATAAGACTTTCAAGAAGTATATGTGTGGTCAACTCAAATATATATTAAACAATATATAAAATTTATGATAATATGAAATTAAAATTTAAATAAAAGATTAAATAATCATATGATATTATTTTAATCGAATATATATAAAAATATTTGACTAAGTAGAAGATTGTCAGGATACGTTATTAAATATATAATGTAATTATTATATTTTAATATTATAATTTGGATATATAAATTTCTTAACGAAAGAGTTGAAGTTTATGTTGCCTGATGATATGTCTAGGGTGTCATTAGAATTGTTAGAGTGTTTTTATTTATTTATTTATTTATACCTTTTTTCACACAAAAATATTAAAAGACTTGTTTTTGAATATTTTTTTAAATAGTAAAAAGTATGAGTTTTTTTTTAAATGGTTAATTGTATTTCTTTAAACTTAAAAGGATATTTTTCAAAAGTCATTTTAAGTATTTGTTGATATTTTAAATAATATTATCCGATCGAAATCTCCATAAATGATTAAATGATAAAATTAGTTTGAATTTTAGTAAAATGATTAAGATAGAATTACAATGGAATGAATTATAATTATTCGATAATACTTTGATGAAATGGTAATGGATAGTTTATCTAAATATTCTAAGTTAGAACCAAGTCTTAAATGAGTGTTAAATTTGTATGAATGAAAGTTTTTATTGTCTATTGCCATCTTTCCTAATTCGAATAATTGATATATGCAATTGCACAAAGAGATATTTTTAGAGTTGTTTATGGTTTATAAATTACATTGAACCGAATTAAATTTCTAATTTGTTCAGTTTAGAATAATCATTTTAATAAAATATCAATATGGTTTATAAATTACATTGAACCGAATTAAATTTCTAATTTGTTCAGTTTAGAATAATCATTTTAATAAAATATCAATAACTACTAAAATGGTTCTAATTCAATTAAAAACTAATTTATATTTATAAATTAATTTATAATCAATTTACAATTTTAAAATCAAATTTTTAACTTCATAAAAATTTAAATTCTTTTAAATTAAAAAAAAAATATTCTTCAAACTATTTATTTTCATATTTTTTATTTTTGAAAAAAAAAATTTGTTTTACTGACAGAAAATTGATTTTTTTTTTTCATATTTGTGAAATAAAAACTTTCTTGTTTATTTGAAAGAAATTTGATTTTTTCATATTTTTGATTTTTTTTTTGTATTTTAAAAAAAAAATTGAATTTTTATATTTTTGAAAAAAGTATGACTTTTTCATATTTTCGAAAAAATTGACTTTTTCATATTTTTGAAAAAACTCGACTTTTTCATATTTTCAAAAAAAATTCGATTTTTTCATATTTCTAAAAAAACTCGATTTTTTTCATATTTCCTAAAAAACTTGAATTTTTCATATTTCTGGAAAAAATCGAATTTTTCATATTTTTGAAAAATCTCGACTTTTTCACATTTCCGAAAAATCTTGACTTTTTCATATTTCCGAAAAAACTCGACTTTTTCATATTTCTAAAAAAACTCAATATTTTCATATTTCTGAAAAAACTCGACATTTTCATATTTTCGAAAAAACTCGACATTTTCATATTTTCGGAAAAACCTGACTTTTTCATATTTATGAAAAAACTCGATTTTTTCATATTTCCGAAAAAAAACTCAACTTTTTCATATTTCCTAAAAAAACTCGACTTTATCATATTTCTGGAAAAACTCGACTTTTTCTTATTTCCGAAAAAAAGTCTACTTTTTTATATTTCCAAAGAATCTCGACTTTTTCATATTTTCGAAAAAAACTCGATTTTTTGTATTTTTGAAAAAACTAATATTTTTCTTCGTATTTTTGAAAAAATATGATTTATTACATTTTTGAAAAAAATCGATGTTTCGTATTTTTGAAAAAAATTGATTTTTCGGATAAAATTAATATTAGTTTTTTCTAGAAAATAAAAAATATATTTTCTAGAATTTTTTTTTAATTTTTTGTTTCTTTTTTCAATTTTGTTCTACTTTCTGTTAATTTTTATTCTTTTTTAATTTATTTATATAATTAAACTAGTTTATAAAAAAAATGGT